AACCCCCCAGACACCCCCTCCCACTCCCCCGACGCCTTGCTGAGACATCCTCTTCGCACCAGAACGCGCCGATTCGCGATCCCGCAGCCCCCACGCAAAGCCAGGATGAGAGACCTGATCAACGACAGCACTTTCATGGCCTGTACCTTGCAATTACGAGAATCGGTGTGATCAGGCTCTGAAGACCTCGCTCACTCGGGCGGATAGTCCTCAAATCCCCAGAGGTGCGGTGCCACGGGGTTCCAGCAGTTCGTTGGCCGACGCGAGCGTCCGCGCCTGCCGGCCCTTGGCCGTTGGCGTTGGGCGACGACGCAGGGAGGGGTGCTGTGAGCACGAGGCGCGGCCAACCAGTTTCAGGCGGCCCCACTCATCCACACAAAGTGCAGGAAGCCACATGATGACCACCTTTCCGGCGAGGGGTGGCTCTTGTCAATTGTGGGCTGATGCAGGATGGCCTCATTTTGGACAGCGTGTCGCGCATTGCTGCCCGGATAGCCTTGATGGCACGACAGTACGAAAGTGAACAGATAGAAGGAGCAACCCTATTGTGGGTCTGCCTCAATGGACCTTACCAGTGCGAAGAAGGTGGTAGGATAGGGAGCCACAGTTGACTTGGGAAGCCATCAGGTGTGTTCACAGTATTTGGTCCTGGCCGATCACCTCCCCTGAGCGACCTGTAATCAGAGATTTCTGAGAAGAATCTGGACATATTGGATTGAGGACAAGTGGATCATCCATTGATGATCAATGGAACGAGCAAGAGCATGCAATGATCTATAAGCCTGGAAGGGTCGTCCCGGCTGCCCAACCTGGCGGGGAATGGCGCTCGACCTGAAGGCTGAAGCGATGTGGCAATTTCTGGGATGCTTGTGGCTGGGATGAAAACTCTACAAAAATGTACACACAGTAGGCAAGGAACAACGTGTCCAGCCTTTGCAAATGTGCCATTCCGATATTGATTTCTCGGCCGTGCCCCTCCAGCCCTGGTGGCCCCCTGCCTCTGAGTTGCGAACACCTATGCGTCATACATCGACAGTTGGTTAAGCTGTGCAAGAGTGGGGTGGCATCTTTGGATGCGTATCTGATGGATCTGCAAGAAGAACTTCGTGCAAGAGGCTGACAAAGCCGCCGAACAAACAGTCGTCCTCTACCCACTCTACGGGTCCGCTTGCCATTAACAAGGCTCCCTGGTTTGCATGAACCTTGGCGCCATGCAGGCCACCACCAGCTCTGTGCCCTTTTCTGACAGCAATTTCCCGGGAAGCACTGCATGTTTAGTGGTGCCGACGACACCAAACGGTTGCTTGCAAGCAAACGCTAGCCGTATTTGCGTTGCAGGTCTTTAGGCAGCACGATAATGCATATTCCATTCACTTACTGTAGCATATTATATTCTTGCGATATTCTGGTCGGGGCCCAGGACATCTTGCGCATGATGCTCTCCCAAAAGGTTCACCTGTCCTCTACCTCAGAGCGGTTGAAGAGCAGGACACATTAGTTAACAAAGGGCCAAATAGCACTTTTGCGAACACACATAAAACACATTTCATCAAAATTCTGCACGCTAAGAACACAAAAATACACTTTTGAACACTCTTGAACGCGTGCTATTTGGCCCTTTTTTCCTACTAGGAAAAATGTCACTAGTAGTGACATGGGGAAACGAAATCGGGGACACCCCGCCTCTTTGCATATCCTTCGCTGGCGATTTGGCCTCAAAAGACCATACACAAACGGCCCATGAGCTGTGGTCATTCGGGCGCATGCAAACCGAAAGGGTATGGACAGAAACGCCACCAGAAACCACAGCGACTTACATAGATACACTCAGAATCCCATGCAACTTGAACATTGAAAATGCCATGGGGGTGCAGCACCAAAACCCACACGTTTGGAACCGAAAACCGCTGGCTTTTAAGCCAAACTGGTCGGGTTACACGCCGCGACCTGTGAACAAAGGCGGCACTCTCAGAGAACGCCAACAGGGTGTTTACAACCTCACAAACTGTTGTTTGTTCTGCCGCAAAACCTTCCCGAATCGGGCAGCGCGACCTTGCGGCCCCGCGCATGTCGCGGCAGCCACCCCAAACAGCCCCCTCTAGCATCGTAGATGTTGCCACATCAAATCCACTTGGATCCTTAATATGTCTTTCCAACCCTGGGAGCTCCCATCAGATTACCTCCCAGTCCGTCCTATCCCCTATTCGGGGACCCCAAACAGGTGTCCCACCTTTGTAAGCTATTACCATTCGCTCACATAATCCTCATGCAAATATTGCATCATCCCGCCACAACGCGCCGCCCAAGTTGCAGAAAAAACGCCGCTTCAACTCTGCACACTTTGATCCATCAGCTTCGATTAAGAAACTGCCGCAGTTGGAACAGATGTCACCACGGCGTTTCGAGCGACACGGAGTCACTCACCCAGCGCTGCATGGCCTTTCTACCTATGTGAGTGCATTACAAATACCACTTCTGGTGTTCATTCAGAAAACAGGTCTTGCCGCCATTCTGGCTGTCAAGTGCCACTTGAAAACAATATAAAAATCATCGGACAACAATTAGAGAAGTGATGACATCGCACCCCCACGCAGTCCATTCTCGATTATTTCACATTGTTTTCACTTTGAAGCCCAAGCCCATCCAAACACACCTCCTCGCAGCAGTCGCTGAGGGATCACACATGCAGCACGTCAACGTCTGGACTCATTTTTTCATCAATGGGTTTTCGCTTCATACATAGAGTCGTAGTTGAATTATCAATTCAATGAACTGATACAGTATATGTCCACAACTGCGGGCATATTTTGCTGCTCTGGTGCATGGCATAAATTGCCAATGATGGCGTTCACTGTCCCTTGCTGTCGATGACCTGATACTCAGTGTTGCCGTGGGCCTCACTTGGTCCCAGATATTCGCATGGCCTGCATCATGGAATCCTACCCGTTGCTCTGATCTTCCCAACAAAATTGCCTAACACGTCATTCTGCACTCTTGGGCTGGTTCACTTCAACTTTTGCATTGCTTTCCTCGCCCGTTGCTCAAGCCAGCAGTTGGGCACGTCGCCTTCAAAAATGGCGCATTTTGGAAGAGCACTCTCGCTCCAACATTGGCATGCTGCAGGTCTCCAGCGATGTGTCGATTGGGTCCACTGATGTAGTCTTCTCCGTCTTGCATCTTTGCCAACAGAATGTTATGAGCCTTTACTGATGTGTTTGAACTGTGTATCCGCCGGAATCTGGATCAAGCGGGGCGCCAGCTCATGTGATTATCATGGTCATCTACAATTTTATTGAATAAACAAAGTTAATGAATAAATATTTTTTATTTGCCACACCCTTCCGTATCAGCAAATAGTAGCGTGACGATTTTGCTCCACAGTTGTTATCAGACGGTTGTTTCTCTGTTTTAAGGCTCCGCATCTGTCCCTTTGACACAGGGCGTGCTGGCCAAGTTTCAAGTGCAACTGACCAGTCCACAGCTTCCTACTTGCATGCGCCGAGCAATCCAAGCATAGGGTTCACAAAGCCTTACCAGCACAACGTTCTGGCTGGTCCGTCGCAACGTTTTGCTGATTTGATGTCTGTGGTCGCACAGTACCGCCGGTTGGTGGATGGGAAGGCAACGCAGCATGTATTTGCACACAGCTATCCTTTTTCACTCACCCGTACGGGTCGTGCCTGCAATATCACAAACGTCAATCGTTCCAAATGGCTTTTGGGTGCAGCACGGGAACGAACGGCACTGCGGGTTGCAGTGAACCCCGCTGTGGGGGAACCTAGCTGGCCTGGGCGTTACTTTATTAGCACATCCGCATTTTCTTGTCGCACCGTTATGCTTATTATTGCGGCTTCGCCAAAAAGGGCTAAACATTCCGTTACTATGCGAAAGCATATAAGACCATCTTTTTCGGTGGGCGCTATTGTTCCGGTGGTGCTGTTCGGTCATCCGAATGGCGCAGCAGGCCCAAAAACCATCATTAACGGCTGGAGGAGCAACAGTACCCAATGTTATTCGGCGCTCAGTGGTGTTGTTTTGGCCCCGAATAGCACCGCTGGATGCCAAATAGCACCCCAGAATGGCATTCGGTGCCATTCACGTAGAACATTGCAGTGGTGCCCTGATGCTATTCCACACAGCAACAGTACCCACCGTTACGGATGCACGCAGGGGTGCAGTGGCGCCCACGCTTGGTTTTTACGCCGTAAAAACTGCTCGTATTTACGTTTTTATGCGTAAAAATAGTTTTTACGTTTTTACGCATAAAAATGCATAAAATACGTAAATACAACATAAAAACTGCCTGGTGTACATAAGGACAGTACATACAGTTTTACAGAGTCCGGAGAGTTGCAGCCAGACGCCTTGGAAGAGGCAGAAGATGAGGTTTTGCTAAACGCCATTATCGCCCTTGCCAAGGGCGAGGTGGACATGGTGTTGCGGGTGCTGGAGATGGCGGAGGACTGATCGTTGTACGCAACTTTTGTCGTGTAATCTACATGTGCCAGGTAGCCGTAAAAACATAAAAATAGCCGTAAAAATAGGCCCTTTTGGAAATTTACCTTTTTACGTGTAAAAACGTAAAAGTAAAAACGTAAACGTGAACATAAAAACCAAGCCTGGTGACCCTGGTTCTATTCGACAAATGCCTCACTTAACAACGTGGCATGGCAGCCAATGAAACCGTTCCTGTTTAGCACCACACGATAAAGGCGCCCTAGCATATTATGGGGCATATACTGGAGTGGAGTGGTGCAATGCGCATATTCCACTTCACTTCTCACGGTATATACCAGTATCGTATTTGAATGGACGGCTGTCTCGTAGACACGTGGCACCAGCGTCAGCCCCCTCGGCCTTTCTCTTTTTTCTAAAACCGTCTGAACAAACGACCCAGGGGTCCTTAGTCGTGGACAGCGCCAACTCCCGCCCTCTCGACAGCGGAGCACTCTGAGCCAAGGCGACCTGGTCCTCCGCCGAGCGGCGCTTGCACCACCGGCATGGCATCTCGTGGCGACGCGCACACGTTGGCGCTCTCCAGCCACCTCATGCCGTCGATCCCCGGCCATGGCGGATCCTTGGACGACTGGGATGATGAGGAAGCGCGCGAGCAGCTGGAGGTGCTGCTGTGGCTCGTGGGCAGCGGCCCGGAGCCCAGCCACTGTCGCCAACCGCCGGTCGCGGCACCCCAGATGAGCATCTCCGTGCGAGATCTGGCCGGCAACCACGTGCGGGTGAATGCGGAGGCCCAGAGGACGGTGGCCGAGGTGAAGGCCTGCGCGGCGTCGGCCTTGGGCGGGGACCCCGCGCTCCAAGTGCTGGCGGTGGCGGGAGAGATTCTGCAGGAAGCCATGCGGCTGCAGGATTACGGCGTGGCCGAGGGGTGCACCCTCTGCATGGCCCCCTGGGAGGGCCACGCCGCCAATGCGCCCCTGCTCCTGGAACCTCGTTTCCTGGCGCCCCAGCACGATTTCGACCTCACCGGTGTACCGAACGACGGGGTGGCTCTGAGCCGCGGCGGGGAGGCGTACGTTCGACCCTTCGGCTGGCGGCGCCACGCGCTGGCCGTTGACGCCAAGTATTCCGACACGACATGGCTGGACGGGCGAATGGCCGCTGGACAGTGGCCCGTGGGCTACCACGGAACCACGCTGCCTGCCGCGAGGGCGATCGTCGCCCAGGGCTTCCGGCTGTGCATGAGCCGCCGCGCCACGTTTGGCCTCGGGGTGTACACGACCCCTGACGTGGACTATGCCGAGCGGTACGCTGAGGCGTTCGAGCATGCCGGTAGGCGGTTCAAGGTGGTGATCCAGGCGCGCGTGAACCCGGCCAAAAGGAGGCGCGTGGAGAGGCGCGATCCCGCCACCGGCGCCGTGGCGAACATATGGGTGAACCCCAACGAGCGCGACGTGCGGCCGTACGGCGTCCTGGTGCGCGAGGTCTGACGCGCCCGCCGACGGGCGGGCATCATTGGGGTGCGATCGCGGCCACGCCCTGGCTTCATCGCTCCCAGGATGGCGACCACCACCCGGCCCCCGGAGTCGTAACAAGGCACCCGCCCATCCAGGCCCATCCCCTGCACTCACGGTGCACCCTGTCGTTGATGCTGACGACTAGGGCGCTGGGCCTGTGCTCACTGCGCTCCCTGTGCTCGGTGCACACGCTGCACACACTGCGGACACTGCGGACACTGCACTGAGTGCGCTCACCAGGCTCACTGCGCCGCCTCTTCTTCTTGAAGCTGACGAGCAGCTCCCCCTTCCTACCCTCACTGTGCCTCCTCTTCTTCTTAACCTGTGCTCACCCCGCCTCCTCTTCTTGGTAAAGCTGACGAGCAGCTCCCCCTACCTGCGCTCACAAGCCCACAGGCCCAGTGGCTTTTTTTCATAGAAATTGACGAAATTCCCTGCAAATGTCACGACCCCGTGACTTGTGGCCGATCTCTGGAAACGTGCTCCCTTCGAGCTCGGGCTGCAAATTTGCGAAACCTCTTCAAAATTTTGTGTTTTTGTTGCTCTGCTGCAATGTGCAAAACTGCCCATCCCGCTTGCTGTTGGGAAGCGTCTGCGTGTTTGCCAGCCCGGTTTTCGAGCAGCCTGCAGTGCCTGTTTGATGCCACGTGGAGCTTCACCTGTGGACATTCTGCCCCCAAGTTGCTGACTGCTGGGGAGTGATGGCCACGCATCTCACAGCGACTACATTCCCATCTACAGTGCCTTCTGCAGCTCCATCTACAGCGATCCATGGGGCCATGTGCAGTGCTGTCTAGGGGTGCTGCCTGTGCAGAGCAGTGGTCGAAGCATGTGTTCTACAGTAACAACTTGTTGGAATAAGTGCTTGAGGTGGTTGTGGTTCTGAATTTGAATTGATGACACTCTGCCAGAGGTTCTGTTAATGCTGGGGTGGCTGCAATACGTTCTTGAACGGAATTGGGAGGATGGCAAGCCTTTGGAGCTTGTCTGTGATACTGCTACAGCACGCCTTTTTTATAGTTTGGGGGCTCAGGGTTGGAGAACAGCACCTAACTTATCATGGTATGGGCTTGCTTTGTGTAAATTTGTCATTCTGCCTGTTTTGGCTGTCAACTCTCATATGGGTGCCTGCATGTGCGTTCTGCTGGTTCATGCAACATGGTACTCATGCGCTGTTCGTACACAGGGTCCACACAAATTGACACTGGGAGAGCACAGCTCCTGAGTTCTTACATTCCTGCAGTTGTGTAAAAGCACGACGGACAGCAAGACTTTGGCTTTGCAGAATGGGGGTGTTCCTCACGATTCACTCCTCATTTAGCCATATCATCATCACAGGAAAATAACAAGTTGTTCATGTTGTGGATCTTTTGCCATTTTCAAGGACATGCAATAATTTCCCGACAATTCGGAAAAGGCAGCGTCAACACCTGAACGGCAGAGCCGTGCTACCAGCGGGATGGCAGCATTGGGGCTCCTCGCTAACACTTGATAGTAGGGCGCAGTTGCAGCGGGTGGCATGCTTTGCAGCTATGTTCGAAATGTGCTTGGT